ACGAACAAATTGAACCCACGTGCAACTGCAGAATAAAGAACGAATGTCCCTTAAAGGGAAATTGTTTACAAAACAACGTAATATACCAAACCACGATAAAATCACCAGATAATGAAGAAAAAGTATACATAGGAGTAACTGAAGGACCCTGGAAACAAAGAAATTATACACACAAAACATCTTTCACAAATAGTAAATATGCGAACAGTACAATGCTTTCTAAGTATATCTGGGAAATTAAAAACAAAACCCACATCACACCAAGAATATCTTGGAAAATAAGGAAAAGATCACCAGCCTACAACAACCAATCAAAAACTTGCAAACTTTGTTTGAAGGAAAAAATAGCTATCAAAAATCAAACCAAAAAATCGGACGAAAAAATAGCTATAACTGTTATATAACGATAAAATAAATAAATAAATAAATAAAACAATGATAAAAAACAAATAAATAAATACTACGTTACTTAAAAATCGAAAACCGAAACGAGAAAATATAGAAGTAAAATAAATTGACCTAAATTCATCCAAGTAAATAAATAAACTAACCAATCCCGATAACGTTACCGTTAGAAAAAACAAATAAAGATAATCAACCCAAATAAACTCAAATTAAAAACTGTTTCTGCCAAAATAATAGTTAGAATAAACTACAACAACCAACCCCAAAACCGAACAAATAGCTTTAATTAAATTCTCAAACCAAAAAAAAAATTATTAAATAAGTGATATAAACAATTTTTTTCAAAATAAACGACTTCCGGTAAAATAACCGCCATAATAGACTACCCACAATGCACCACTGACCCGTATATGTATAAATAGCCGAGAAAAATAACACCACACGTGGCCTGACGATTGCATATAGCATGAAACAGACTGTCGCCTCTAAGTGTTGACTTCTATGTTCACTTTTATATATATATATATATATATATATATATATATATATATATATATAAAGACAACTTAGAAGATGTGTATACCTGAAAGGATTTCAGTATATATTACCAAAAATATAGATTAATAAGTCAAGAGCACGCTGATCAACAACGTGTTCACTTAAAATGACGTCATTTAAACACACATTATTAATTATTTTCTAATCTTGTTTTCTGGCCTGAATCGAGACTTGACTGAAAAGATACACACACTTACAAACAAACGCATATATATATATATGTGTGTGTCTGTGTGTGTGATTGCGTATTGTGAGAGAGCGACACCTTAGTACTTGTTAGAACATTTTGTCGTAAAAGGAAAACTGATGTAATACCTGCGACACACTAACAACAGATAATCTTGATGTCCTCTTTTCGGATCATGGCTTGTGCTGTACAGAGTGTGTGACTGACCCTGTACACTGTTATTCTTCACAAAGTTCGTGCACATGCATTGCATAATGTTTTGAAGGATTTTATTGGTTGTTGCGGACAGTTGACCGCAGCTTTAAAAGACACGACTCTTATGATGAATCACAACAGTACTGTAGACACTGCCAATAAGGATTCATGGAAATGAGATGCCGGGAAACTAATGTTGTGACTAGACGTTAGTCCGTTAGTCTGGTGGGAAAAATTCAAATCATTAGCCGGGTTTATGTCGTGTACGTGTGTGGCACCGGTGAATCTTTGAGGGATGTTCTCTGATGGACATGATCGATAACGAGAAGGCAACCGACATATTTCCGTCATGAATTGTTCTTGACGGACGGATGCACACACACACACACACACACACATATATATATATATATATAGGGAGAGAGAGAGAGAGAGAGAGAGAGAGAGAGAGCAAATGTAGCTATACTGTGAACAGCAATGAAAAACGAAACGTGCACACAAAATTTATACAAGCTTGCCAAGAATAAGATATCTGTTTTAAACATATCAAATCCCTCAAATGTTCAAACTGTTTGTCCCGGTCATTCACCCCCCCTCTTTACCTGCAAAAATATTTATATTTTTATGTATTCAGAAATAAAAAAAAAATAAATATATTATAATAAAAATTGTGGCAATAAAAATATTCGAAATGATTACGATGAATTCAATGAATTATAGTATGAAATGTATCCTAGAAAACACGATTATAATTCTAGTTAAACCAGGCTAATATTTTCTATGTACCTACTTTTGCAAGCTCTCTCACTCTCTCTCTCTCTCTCTCTCTCTCTCTATATATATATATATATATATATATATATATATATATATATATATATATTAGGTGTTCGTGTAACATTTCACATTTTAAATCGGTCTCAAATTTATTTCCAAGTCCTAAAATTTCTTATCACACAATATATATATATATATATATATATATATATATATATCTATTGATAAAATATTGCGTTAAGCACGAAACAAACTATCGCCACTGGTTAGCGGACGCAACATTATTTTTTATATTTATAATATATGCTTATATAAATATGCACCAACAAACAATTATGTTCATATATATATATATATATATATATATATATATATATATATATATTATATATTGTGTCCTCCTCTAAATAATCCATGTTGGACTCTTTCGCCTACTATAAAGTAGTAGGCGAAAGAGAGTATCCTATTAGTAGGAGAGAAGGCCTTGAAGGAATAGTCGAACAGATCGGTTCGCACTGAGCTGGTTAAAGATCCCCAGAGAAGCTCTCCAGACGAGGCTATGTCGAAGGGCCGAGTCTTGTCTCAGGAAACAGCTATCCGACCCCGTTTTAAATTCTTGGCCGAGCCTACGGGCTCGGATTGCCCCACATTGAACTGGGACTACCTCGTGGGGAGGCTGGTAAATGCAACAATCGAATAGATTGAACGCTGGGTCATTCGACACACACTCTCCAGTCGTGTAATGCAAGTACTGTTTAATATATATCTGTAACACTTGTTTTGTTATGTCTTTAACCACTTTGGTAATATATATTGGACTTATATTCGACGTATATGCGTAAAGCAGATCAGTTTCTATGGAATTGACAACTCGACACCAGCACGTGAGATTTGATTATAGTGGTGAAGGTTTTGTGCAGAACAACTCACACTTTTTGAAGGGCCGAATAAAGAGACCTGATGCACCACGTGCTACAAGGTCCCCAAACGAACCTCCGCAGGTTTTGAATTCAGAGTTGTCCTTCTTCTAGACCAGTTACCATACAAAGCTATAGAACCCGGTTTGTTCTGCTATTTACCCATAACTAGAGGGAGAAGAAGAGGATTCATAACTTTTACAATGGTATTAGCACCTAAGTGAATGTAATGGATACGACTTGAGTTCGAACTCGGCTCTACGATTTCTCAATCCAAGCTGCTATCCATTACTCCACTATATATATGTATGTTTTTCATTTTTCACCTTTTTTTTCCTTCCCTTCCCATTACATCCGATTTCCTATCTTTCAATCATCATACTCCTCCTGCAATTTTTTTTAAAGATAATTATGTAGCGTTCTTTGTGGGTTTTGAAATAAAGCGTTAAAGTCGTCATTTTAAAAGTATCGCCCGAAGAGACCGTCAGGTCGAAACCATGGTCACGTATTTTAATTCACTTCCTGATTTTTAAACCTAAAAACTCGGCATATTATATTCATTTTTAATTATATTATTTAATACTACTGTTCCTTGGTCTGATCCATTTCTATTAACCTTTATACGTATCTATCTATCTATCTATCTATCTATCTATCTATCTATCTATATCTATATATATATAAATGTGTGTGTTTATTTATTTGTTTTTGCAGCCCTTGTTACATTTCATACATATATATATATATATATATATATATATATATATATATATATATATATATATATATATAAATTCATGAATTATTCACACAAAAACAAATGTAAAGGTTAATGATTTAATTGGCGAGAAATCCATCGTCGCAAACAATTCAAATAATATACAAAAACCTGCGAATCCGTTATGAATGAAAAGATCCTTGTTTCTATAAATTTCTGCCGTATTAGTTCTTATTTTTACTACAAGCTTTCGTCTGTTCCTACAGACATCTTCAGGTATAGAATAGATGTTGTTCTTGTTTTTTCTCTTAGTAATAAGAGGACAACGAAAATATATGTATTGTTGTATCCGAAAATGCTATTGGAAATGAGTTATTGTTTTTGGAGCGCGCAGAAAATATATATATATATATATATATATATATATATATATATATATATATATATATGTGTGTGTGTGTGTGTGTGTGTGTGTGTGTGTGTGTGTGTGTGCCCGTAGTTCGGAGTTATATGTTTACTATTAATATTATATTTTTAAATTTATTATTAACTCAGCAGCCATTAGACCAAGATAGCTTAACAAACGGGAGGGGAAAGATCACAGGACACATGCAGAAAACATGGATAATGAAAACTAGATGGTCATCGTAAATATTTCACAAACACACACATATATATATATATGTGTGTGTGTGTGTGTGTGTGTGTGTGTGTGTGCGTGTGTGTGTGTGTACGCTAGCACGCGCGAGGGTATCTGTAAGAGAGTGTGATCATTGCAATCGATACAAATATCCAAGTCGAATGAGACAAGTGAAATTGATTTCCCCCGAGAAGTTTCTCGTTTGATGAAAGCACCTCATTCCACTGACACTTCGACTTTTGCTCAATCAACGGCCTGGAAGATGGAGAATAAAAAAAAGAAAAAAGAAAAGAAACCAATCACGTGAAGGAAAAGCGTTGCGAGAGACAAGACGAGGACGGGGAGAGCGTGAATGGATTATCGATATATCGCCACCTTTATAAATAAAGTCATAATCGAAAAGTCGAACTAGAAGAAAAAAAAATGATGAACACAACCAACAAACGTATTTCCTTTGAAAGACGTATATCTACATTTACAAGGAGAAATGAGTATTTCGGATTCAGAAGGGAACGTTATGGTTTGGAAGACTGTGTAGCGCTGGTGATATGAACGGTGCAAATAACTTTTTCTCCGGCTAAACTCCGCTGGTTTCTGAAAGGTATGAGTTCAATTTTTCTTCCCCCACCTTTCATTTACGTGTCAAACAGTCTGGAAAAGTGAGATCTTTATGTTCGGATAGCTGTCCAAAGAGTTTAAGAGAAACGCTCACAATTCACAAACAGAAAAGAAATGTTAGCCGTAGAGATCCATAGTCACCAATGACATCTTTTTAATCATTTCACCCCAAGCAAGGCGAGAATGCCACTAGTACAAAGGATGGTAGAGGAGGTAAAGTGAAAAAAAAAAAGTCATAATATAGGGAGAATTGATGAAAATTCATAAGATGAACGGGATTCAAAAAGATAGATGGCGATTGACATTGCACTTATATATTGCATGGAAAATAATAATTATAAGCAGAAATTTAATTCAGTGTAGCATAGTTTCAAAGGTTGTGTAGTGCCAATGTAGATATTTGTTGCCTTAAAAATCCGCGTTTAACATTCTAAACAAAACGTATTTTGAAACCTTTTAAAAATTTTTCTTCGGTCAATATGAAAAGTGGTATAAGAAAGTAAATTCTTTGATTTTAATCACAAATTTTTATTTATTCTTTATAAAAATATTGCTCGGAACGAAAGGAGTCATGTAGAATTTTTTTATAATTTTGTTAATCTCTTATCTAATATGAGCCCGATTCTCATCAAAATATAAAATATAAAAATAGCACCTCCCTACGACATTAATAGCAAAAAAATCAACATTATTTCTATATGTTTATTAATACATCTTACTTATTATAAAACGCAGATTGTGTGTGTATGTGTGTGTGTGTGTGTGTGTGTGTGTGTGTGTGTGTGTGTGTGTGTGTACTTTTATATATTGGATCGGATTTTCTACATTTTTCAACCGATTTGAAAAGAATTTCACAGGACTATGAAAGATTACCTTGCGGTGGTTTTGACGGCGCCAAAAATTGGAAAAACACAATTTTTTTGCACGAAGTCAATTTGAAAACACGTTAAGAGACATCGCCAGAATGAAAGGGGGACAACTCATATCGAGTTATACTTATTATAAAACCCAGGTTGTTTGTTTGTGTGTGTGTGTGTGTGTGTGTGTGTGTGTGTGTGTGTGTGTGTGTGTGTGTGTGTGCGTTTATATATGGGATCGGATTTCCTACATTTTTCAACCGATTTCAAAAAAACTTCACTTTTTTTTTTGGCAGTCTTTCTTACCGTCTTGCACACTTTTTTCTTTATTTTTACATTCAGAATGCCTTAAAAATTCCATTTACAATTGTTTATAATAAAATTCTATTCAATCGATAGACTCATAACGATTGAAAACAATGTTTTTCTTTGAGTTTGGGTTTGACCAATTCATAAAAAAAAAAAAAAAAAAAATCAAGACATGCGTGTCCGTCAACCTTAAACAATAATCTTTGTAAATTTTATTTTTCAGTCTTTATGCTGGTCGATACTTGATCTATCTCTTACTGTTACATCCCCGGGCAACACCGGGCTCTACTGCTAGTTTAAAATAAAACCTTGATCATTCTAAATTTTTACACACACACGCGCGCGCACGCGCGTACACATACACACACATATATGAAATTGGAAGATTTCATTAAAACTAAATGAACTGCTATCAATCGTATAGTATGGCAGATGAAGAGAAAACTGAAGACAACAGAAATCAAATCCTGCAGAAGGAGCGCGAGAGTCGCATGGACGGTGCGCGTAAACAGCAGAAAATTCTTAAGAAATATGGAAACAAAAGGCCACACACTCAGGCTCAGAAAAAAGACAGCTGAAATTTCTTGGACGTATGATGAGGAATGGGAGTTTGTAGAATTTGACCCTCACATGGCGTATGGAAAGCAAAAGGGAGAGGAGAACGCGGAAGACCACCTACCTAACGAGGTTGTTTGAAGGTTTGGCGGAACTGTGTGTTTTAGCAAAAGAATAAAAGTTGCTAAGGACTACAAGATATAGTAGATTATGGAAAGCTAGGATCCTGAAGTACTGAAGGGACACTACACAAAGAAGACTAATTGACTAATGCGTTAACACTTAAGTACACGTCGTGGAACCCAGTGACCAACTAAGTACTCGTTATGCTAATGTGGATTTTACTAGGGAACATATACAGAGAGCGACCATTGAAAATTCTCTTACTAAGCAAAAAATTTTGGAGAGAGTCTTCACGGAAAAAGACTTGTCATTTATTGATACGGCGCTTCGATCATATTTCTGTCCATATAACTCGTGAATAATCAAAGCTTTTAACCACATAATTACAAGCTGTGTCGTATTTTTAGATTATTGCTAGGCTGTTCGGAAAATAATGTTCGACTTTAGAATCAACATTTATTCCTTAATTAATGTATTTAAACATTATTTAAATTAGTCAAAATAGGAAACAAGTAAATTTCAGCCACCAAGTTACAAGGTTAATACCATTAGGATAAAAAAATAAAAGTTTTGGACGCCCAGAAATCTTTGAATGACGTTGCTATATCTACTTTGCAACAGAATAAATTTTAGCTTAAAAATTGTCAAGATGCTTGAAAAAGTGGTAGTCAGTGGGCGGAAGATCAGGGGAATATGGCGGATGTGGAAATGTGTCATCTTAACAACACGTGACCGAGCACTGTCATGAAACAGAATTGGACCTCGTCGATTAACCAGTGCTGTTCTCATGATGCTTAACTTACTGTGTATTTCATCCAGTTGCTGGCAGTAAACTTTGACAGTGAAACTTACTTTAATTTCCAAAAAGCTCTAATAGATAACACCAGTGGAGGATCACCAGACAGTCACCATAATATCATTTCGATGCAATTTTGGTTTTGGAAAGTGTTTAGATGCTTCGTCATGTCAGTAGGTTACGTGCAACGCGCGATACACGCTTAGGCTATGATGTATCTCTCAATATATAACTAACCAGGCATATATTTCTCCCGCAGAAGGTTGCCATTTCTTTCTGCGGTAGACTAGCTGCAGATTAGTACCTGTGGAACAGCTCGACATCAGCATATGAGATTTGATTATAGTGACGTTTTTGTGCAGAACCATCCACACTTTTTAAAGGGCCGAATACAAAGACCTGGTGCACTACGTGCCACAAGGTCCCCGAACAACCCTCCGCAGGTTTTGAATTCAGAGTTCTCCTTCTTCTAGACCAGTTGCCATTCAAGTCTATAGAACCTGGTCTGTTCTTCTGTTTAGCCATAGCTGGAGGGAGAACAAGAGGATTCATACCTTTCCCAAGGGTATTAGCACGTAAGGGAACGTAATGGATTCGAACTCGGCGCTCCGATTCCTCGATCCGAGCCACTATCCATTACTCCACCGTACTTCGTCATGATCAATCCATTTTCGCCGATCGTTTATGATTGAGATGAAGGATCCATTTATCATCAATATTCGTTCAAGGAATGGATAATTGGATTTTCACAGACATCGAACAATCTTCAGAAGGTAGAACAATTTTGATTTTCCATTTATCGAATTTCTTCATGAACCGATGTTGTCGAAATGCTGACACCTATTATCCGCGATTATCTGCGATATTTATCTGACACTTTGACGTGCGTGTTGTTCAACTAGTGCTTTTAGATGTTTATTGTTAATTGCAGATAGACGTCCCTTACCACCATGATCTTCAAGTCTCGTATCCCCACTGCTGAACTTCAGAAACCAGCTCACTGCTACCCGATGCCAAGCGGATCCTTCACCTCATGCTGACAGCAGTTTGAGCATCATTATGATCACGCTTAAATGAATGCATCGCTTCATTTCTCATGTTCAAGAAAAATACTTTTTTAATGTTTTAAATTCTGAAAGAGATTGATATCAAATTAACAAAGAGGGCACATTGATCATTAGGAATGAGTTATATTTTTTGGCGGAACTGTTATAATAATATTTTAGAATTGAATTAAAATGTTTATTTTCAAATCAGACATTAAACACCACAACGGCAGCTAATCTCAGCCTTTGCACAAAATCACGATATTATGCAATTAAGTTGTTTTAATTCAATTACGTGTGAAACATAATCGACTAGTTCTGTAAATTCAATTTAATTTGACAAATTAGACACAAGGAATATAACCGAACATTTCCCTTGGCTTAATGTAAATAAGTAACACTATGGACTAGCTCAATTCATTTTGATTTGAATAGGAAATTATAATAATAACAGGTGATTTCATTTATATCAACTGGTTACGTTCTTGATTGTACCGTTTTCTGTCTTTTAATTTCTCTGTGTTTTACTTCATACGTACATGCATACACACAAACATATATATATACATATAATATTCGTGGGCAATATATATATATATATATATATATATATATATATATATATTAGTCAATATATAATATATATATATATATATATATATATATATATATATATATATATATATATATATATAAATTCTCAAGGGGATAGAATGCAGGTAGAACTCAATGTCCAGGACAGAGTAAGAATATAATATAAAAAAGCTCAAACACTAATATTCCATGTCTATAATTTATTACATTGGAATCGTAATCCCGATTTAATTCATCAGACCTACAAATTCAAAAGACATTTTGACTTCTTAGGTCTGATAAAATGGATCTTGATTAAGATTCCAATGTAATAAATTATAACCATGCAATATTAGTGTTTGAGCCTTTATATATATATATATATATATATATATATATATATATATATATATATATATAAAGACAGATCCTTAAAAATCCATTAGGCTATAATTTATTTCATGAATATATACAAATATCCCTCTCTTCAGATCGAAGTTTTTTTAAAAAAGAGTTTTATTTAAAAAAGAAAATAAACTTTTCGGCCTGAAGAGATGAATATTTTTATATATTCATGAAATAAATTATAGCCAACTGAATTTTAAGATCGTCTGTACTTATTATATTGCTTAGTTACATACATTGAGCTCTCTTTGGAGTTATGTACACCTTGGAATTATACCGACCAATTATCAACATATATATATATATATATATATATATATATATATATATATATATATATCCGGTTGCTTTCGATATATGAAGGATCAAGAAACAGCCACCTAGACTACCTGGCTTTGGTCATTTGATTATAGTGGTGAAGGGTTGTGTAGAACCACTGACACTTTTTGGAAGTGTTGAAGTCAGAAAACTGGTCACAGTGTGCCACAAGTTTCCCAAACAAACCTCCGCATGTTTTGAAGTTAGAGTTGACATTCTCCTAGACCGGTTGCAATCCAAAGCTATAGAACACAGTTTGCCCTTCGATTTGTCCGTAGCTAGAGTGGGGGGGGTAGAGGAAGAATATTCATACCTTTCCCAAGTGTATTAGCAAGTGAGTGAATGCAATGGATTCGACTGGAAGTCGAACTCAGCTCTCCAATTCCTCAATCCACGTCACTATCCATTACTCCGTGCCTCCTCTCTCTTTCTCTCCCTCCCACCTCTCTCTCTCTCTCTCTCTCTCTCTATATATATATATATATATATATATATATATATATATGTATGTGTGTGTGTGTGTGTGTGTGTGTGTGTGCGTGTGAGGGTGTGCGTTCGAGTAGAGTCTATTTTATCTAATTTAGTAAATTTGATCTCTACACTAAATACCGAACTCTTCTAAGTCTTTATTTAAAACTTGCTTTCATTTATTTGACATTCACATCTGTTTCTAAATATCTGCATTCGCAGATGCTCGTCAGATATTCATATATACTTAACGAATCCTTTTTCTTTTTTAGCTTTCATCAAACCTTTTCATATTAACCACTTCTTGTTTCTTTCTCAATTTACCGCAAAGGTCTTGCTTCAATTGACTTTTTTTTATCCATGCCTTCGTCGCTTTTTTACGTCATTTTGTTTTTGCTTCATAGATTTCTTTCCTTCTTTTTTCTTGTTTTTTCTTGTTTTTTCTTTCTTTCCTTCTTTTTCTTTTTTCTTCTTTTTTCTTTTTTTCCTTCTTTTTCTTTTTTCTTCTTTTTTCTTTCTTTCCTTCTTTTTTTCTTCTTTGTCTTTCTACCCTTCTTTTTTCTTCATTTTCTTTCTTTATTTTTTATTCTTTCTTTCCTTCTTTTTTCTTCTTTCTTTCTTTTTTATTTTAGTTTTCTTTCTTTTTTTTTTCGCTTCATTACATTTGAATCCTACTTTTGACCCTAACTACTTGTTCCGTCTTTTCTTTTCCTTCTATCCTCCATTTTATACGGTTGGTTCGTTTCGATTCTCGATTTCTTCAGTTCTTTATCCGTGCTCCTTCCATTACCACGTTTTTAAATGTAATTTTCTTTCTTATATTTTCGATTCATTACTCCCTTTTATTAATTCCGCTACTCCCTTTTTATATTGACCCCATTCATTATTTTTGCTATATAAGAATAAAGTGTCGCTGCCGACACTTGCGTTTGAACCCAGATCGCCAACGAAGTAACACAGGCGACCTCATTATTGAATTAAATAGATCACGTAACAATAGAGGAAACGAATATATAGGAAGTCGCGTTACATCTAGATTGACCGCTATTTCTAGTCTATCCTCTATTACTATACAGACCGCTATTTTCTACTTTATTTGCTATACTATTTCTCTATTTGGATGGTTACTATTAAAGCGAGTATTATAGAGCAAGTACTGTAGTGGGAGATTATTTGAAGGCGTTACGTCTGACACGAGCATTGTTCAACGGCGTTAGTATAATTGTATCTGCGATTACAAAGGCTCTACTACAATGAGCATTACGAAAGTGACAACGAGTATTCGTTGACATTACAAAAGGGTCAGACGAGGGTTCGTTCACATCACAAATATTTTCTATTTCTTTTGCCATGCTATCGTTGTACAGACTTAAGAAGACGGAACTAAATCTCGCTTAAAAATTATTACTACATTATTCTTGTGATATTCATGATGTTTTGGCCGTTGCAGGCTCCGGACTTGAGAAAAAACATTGGATAAAAGTATTGGTTGTATGCAGTGACTTGACTCAAAGAGTTGTGAATCCAATGCCTGGCGACTGTAGTGGTGAGCAGAAACTTGTAGAGGTAAAGGGAGGTAACTGAGACATCCGGAAGTGAACTGTCATGTGGAACTAGGACAATCTAACCCGGCGGACGAAATAAGAGGTTCAGTTCGAAATCCCTGTCACCTGAAGAAGGCCGGAGTGTACAACGGCCGAAATGTCATGAATATGGCAATAATGATACCGACAATTTGCGAATAATGCAAATAATTGCAATCCCTTATCTTAGATATATAGACAGATATCGAAATATTACTGTTTATTCAAATCCAGATTGCATCAATTTGTAACGCTGAGTAGGTTTATGGCATTTAGGAGTTTCTCCGAACGTAGATTCTCCTCGCATTAATTTGTGAGACGCTCTTTCTATCCATCGAGAAGTGCTTACATATCTACATGACATCAGTTTATCCTCCGTGTGTACATCCTAAGCGCATCTAAGTCTAGCACCTGTTTACATGTCGAGGGCACACACTGGCGTCCACTGAAAGTGCAAATCTGGACCTGGTGGCTAGGTGGGCATTTCACAAGTAACACCGCTGATGTATTTGGATTCTCTGATGCCCTGTTGTAACACTGGGAAAATTCTGTTTTGGTATTATCTGGGGTGAGCTTGATATATATTGAGGTCATAACGGTCACTTCCTCTTAGAATAAACGTTCCTTTTGACAAGAGATTCAATTCAAACTATCTGGAATTTCCTGGCTGGAATAAGAGACTACATTTTTTTTTTGTTATTTCTTTCGTTTTGCATTATAGCCTTTTCTTGCATGTTTCTTTTTTAGACATTCCATTTACTTTACGTGCAGTCGTTTCTTCCATTAATCCTTAAATCATTTATTTACGCCATTTTCTCTCTTTGATTTTGTTTGAGGTTCTTTCGTTCCTTTTTCTTCTTAAATTTCTTAACCTATCCTCCCTATAATCATTCATTTATCCCTTCTTTTATTGATGATTTCCGTTTTCCCAATTCTTTTTTTTATGGATTTCTTTCTCGGAACACCTGCGTGCGTAGTTCAATATAGACTTCAATTGGATCTTCAGTACTGAATTTTATGACAAGCGACACAGCCAATATATTACTTTGACGAAACAATCTGTAATAAGCTGGGAAATTAGAGGAAATAAAACATACTATTATGCATGAAGACACACTGGAATCTAAAAAAAACAGTGATGAGTACAATAACTGCTTATTTGTGTAAACCAGTCACAAAAGAGTTATGAGTATAATATTAGGTTGGTGCAAAAAAAATGACGTAATAATGTCGTTTTTTTGACGTATTTTTTAACGTCAAAAACGACATTAATACGTCATTATTTTTGCACCAACCTAATAACTGTTTATTCGTGTAAACCAGTCGTAAAGCAGTTATGAGTATAATAACTGCTTATTCGGGTAAACCAGTCGCAAACCAGTTATTAGTACAATAACTGCATATCCGTGTAAACCAGTCGCAAACCAGTTATTTGTATAATAACTGTTTATTCGTCGTAAAGCAGTTATGCGTACAATAATTGCTTATTCGTGTAAACCAGTCACATACATTTATGAGTACAATAACTGCTTATTCGTATGAAGTAAAATAGCTAATAGTTACTATACCGTAAAATACCTATATATGTTTACTTATCAAAAACTTTTAGATCAGGAATTATCATTATTATTATATATTTTCTATGCGTCGAACATGTTCATCTTGATCGATATACTGACAGCATTGTAATTTCAGACCTTCTTCCGGTGTCTGTCTCGTACTGTAAATTGAACACTTTATTGAATATACGGTAGTAGATAGTTCGAATTTCGCTTTCTGAGACACATGGCAAGTGTTGTTTTTTGTTATATTTTAGAATGATGTTCACCCTGTGCAAGGCTCAAGAGTCACTCGGGGTAGAGGGTTACAAAATAAGAGGCACCACCCCACCTAAGGTGATATTGTCACCAAGACGCAAGGGACAAGCGGAAGTGAAAGAAAAGGAAAAGATTATAGAGGGAAGCGGAAACCCAATCCTAAACAGAAAAGAAGGGTTAAACCCGTAATCCTGTTTTAAATACTGGGGAGTAATGTGAACTGAACGATAGGCAAATTTCTCTACTTCTATTGTTTAAAGCACATCTGGTTCCTTGGACGTTGTGAGTTCAATCGTTGACAGTCACATACTTTTTGTTCAGTAGAAAAACAAACAGGCAAGCGACTCAGAAACGGATAACACTCATGGGTATTAATCCCGACGCATTGAAAGCCGGATTAGAATACCACATCCCCGCCGTGGATTAAATGAATATGACGTCAAAGATTATAATATCTAAGGAGAACAAAATAGTGCTGTGATTCTTTATTTGACGCAATCACGTATGAGCAACAAAATATACACAAAGAAATTAATTGTTCGCAAAGGAATTGCCTAGGCGAGGTCAGATAAAGCAAATTATTGAAGGACCCCTTGGTTTCCTAAAGTTCTCTGCGCTGTGGACCATTTGAGCAAGAGAAATGTTTTTCGCGGAGCCCTAACAATTTAATATTTAAAAGTAAAAACGAAAAACGAGTAAATTTACTTTTAACACTATTTACAAAAATTAAACCAAAATTAAGGGCTTAAGTGAACCTGATGTTTTGAGGTGTAAACCTTTTTTAAAGTTTTCAAGCCTCATATCATTTCTTGCATTTCGCCTATTTTTATACTGATGGTAGATGTATAAAATGAAAATGTCTTTTTTTTTTTAAAGAAGATATGTTGTCGGCAATATTATCACAAATTCCAGAGGTAATCAGCAATTTGTAAATATTTGTCGTGTAGGTTGATTCAAAGATATATATATAAATCAATTTTTTTAAAATTTTTTATTTCATAACTCATAATCAATTAAAATGTCTTTTACCTGCTGCTTAAAAGATATTACTTAAATACAAGAGTTATGTGTTCGGGGGAATCAAAGAATATATCCAGAATTCAAAGAGAGAAGAGACTTGTGAAGCCAATCGACCTCACTTACAAAACTCTAGAACTCCACGTAGCCCACTTTAGGAAAAACTTCTCTGTACATAATTCTTTTGGATGTACCGTATACTCTTAGTATGTAGGTGATCATGGATCTCCACAATTTCCTGTTTGTAGTACTGTTTTCCTAGGTCCCTTTTGTCTCCAATCTTTCCTGTAAGTATCAGATTTTATGTGACCTAGAAATTTCATCGCTCGGTTTCTGATGTTAACTATACGTTTCCGTTTTGTTTCCATTTTCTCTAAAACCTCGCCGTTACGCCCATGTTCTGTCAATGGTATCCTCATCATGCTTCTCTGAATCACGTTTCTGTCCCAAGTATCTACTTCATTTTTGAGAAGATTGTCCGACATTCGTCTTCCACGTTCCCAGAATCTTTCTCTAGAATTACATTTCTGTTGGCTCGAGTCATCAGTAAGAATTTCTTTCCGCATTCACTGCCATATGGGAAGATTTATATCATCTCGCTGTTCAGCAATGGTTTCTTTATTTCTAATTAAATTTTCCTGTTTCTTAATACTTTGTTTAGCTTTTGGAAGACATCTTTTTCTTTTCCACTCCGCCTATAGATTTCGGTGTTACATTTTCCAATCCTCTATTAAACGACTTCCCAGATATCTAAACAGTTTGATATTGGCATCTCCAATAATAATTTTCATCTCGGGACTTTTATGTGACTGACTATGATACATTCTGTCTTCTAAAAATTTTTCGTTAGCCTTTTGCTCCCGCTTTCCTTTACCATCTTGTCTGGGAAGATTTTGTCTCTAACAAATATTTTCTGTTTTTTAAAAATTGTTCTAGATTATATTCACCAAGTATCAGCTAGAAATAAAAATCACGTTTTTGATTATAATCAACGAATGTCGCCATGAGTCGGCTTTCAAAATTCGTAATCATTTTCTTGATAAGATATACTGACTATATAACAGACTCCTTTAATAATGGATAAAACGATTCTGAATATCTCAGGAAATCATTGAAGTTGCTTCCTATCAGACAATCTTCACTTTGGATTCCTCACGTTTCCCGATGCTTAGATAGAAAAAAAAAGCAACAACAAAAAAAAACAAAAACAAAAAAAAACAAAACTATACGTTAAACTCGCTTTAACGCAGGTGTTTTTATTTGATTAACCCACAACGCACTGCATTTCTCATTTTTGGTTTATTGAGAAAGAGTTTTTTTTTCTTGTTTTACGGAATTTTTCAGTTGTACCTTAAATTATGCCGCCTCACTATCGAATTCGACCTCCTGCAAAAGTAAATTGGACTGAATTTTATTTCACTGTGTTTTGGCAGTCATCTCCTTTGATCTAACTTCTGCCGATTAGCAGACTGCCAACTGTGCCTACATGCTGAAATGTGTGTTCACACGTCCAGATTTAAATTGATTGTACTAGTATGAAGAGGTTTTGGAGATCAAGGATTTGTGTAAGTTCTCTGGTGTGAATATATACCTTAATACTCGCACGGTCACGATTTTCATAAACGGTCGTTTGGCGTACCATATGTATGACAGTAGTAACTAGGGTGGATGTTTCTAAGGGATAATATTCTGACGGAGCCCATCCCTCTTCGGAATGGTTTTTGAATTCAGGTGGTTTCTTTTCTTAAACAATTCTCTTGGGAAGGTTATAATCTAATTAATTAGTGGGGGTGTCGTAAATTTATAATATTGTTTCACCTACTTTCTTAAAACTTTTAATTTAAGAAAGTGCATTTGTTCGAAATCAAGTAGAGAGCCATCAGATATTTTTAGAACGGAACCGGAAGGACGGACATTTAAGCATTGGGGAGGGAAGTTTCTAGCATTCAGCTGTGACAGTCGGACCGAAAATACTTACTGTAATATTCTCGTTTGTATATGTTTGTATTTCTGTTTCTGTTGATATATTTGATTAACTCACTTTCTGTCTTGTGTCTTTATTTCTGACCCTAACAAGGCCCCAACAATACACACACACACACGCACACACACACACACACACGCACGCACGCACACACACATATATATATTATGTTAGTGGTCAATATATATATATATATATATATAAATATATGAACCCCCAAAATAACACTTTCAAAGTAAAGCAAAATAACAGCGTCTGTTTCTAGGTTTTTTTTTTTACAAAGAAAATTAGTGACATTTTCTCTTCTCTTCTCTCTTAACTTTCTTCTCTCTTTTTTCCCGCGCTACCCCTTCGATATCAATATATAACTTCCGTTAAGTTAACCGTTTAAATGTGTCAATATCTGCTAACTCACTCAGGTCTTCTCTCTCCCCCGTCACTTCCTCACTTCGTTAATTTACATATGTTTAATACGGCCCGTCATAAATGTGTAAATTTTCTTTTCATTTTTTGTTTGGAAGTAAAGTCTGATGATCCGCAGTCCTTTTAAAAGGGCTGTGGTGAAGTAATTTATTACATGGAACCTTACAGTGGTCTGTTTTTATTTAAATTATTTGCTCTGGATTTACATTGAGCTCTCTGGATTATATCCTCCTTAGGTTTACCCATACGGATTATATAGTTTTCATAAACTATATATATATATATATATATATATATATATATATATATATATATATATATATCCAAGAGAATTCAGGTAGAATTCAATGTCCAGGACAGAGTATGAATATAATATAAAAAGCTTAAACACTAATATTCCATGGTTATAATTTATTATACAGTGTGACCCGGATATAAGAGAGTTGTCGGGACCGGAGAAGAACTCTCTTATATCCGGGTTTGGTCTATTTTGTTTAGGTAAGTATGGGCTCTAATTTGGGACCAGAGAAAATTTCTCTTATATCCGGGTTTCTCTTATATCACGGTCTCTTATCACGGGTTACACTGTATTGGAATCGTAATCATGACCCAATCAATCGTGATTGCGATTCTAATGTAATAATATAGTTCTTCAGCCTTTATATATATATATATATATATATATATATATATATATATATATATATACATATACGTGCGAAAAAATTATTATGAAAAACATTTTTTTTTTTTTTTTTAAATAGCTTACAAATTGCCTCAGTTAGGTAGACATTAATAAATATTTTGCATAATGTCGGATTTATACTTGGCAGACCAACATTACTCTTTGATTTCTCTCATATTTTCTGTTCGCCCGCCGCCGATTTCCCTACTTTTTGTGGAAGATCGCGTCATTTCTTTTTTTGCTCGGAAATGATACGGACGCATATATAGATGTATAAAAAAGAAAACAATACTTGAAAGAGCTGGATTTTTTTTTTCTTTTCTTCTTTATTTTGTGTGTATTAACCGAAATTGGAAGGAAACCTTGCAGAAACATTTTAATGCAATGTTCGGGCCGCTGCTCAAATGTTACACGAAGTTTTCAGAAATTGAAGACACCACATAGCGCCAGTACACACCTCATACATGGGCGCATATAAATCGCATACATTTATAGATATAAAATATTCAACTATTGAACTTACTTTATATATACATACATACATACACACATATATATATATATATATATATATATATATATATATATATATAGGTGTGCGTGTGTGTGCGCGTGTGCGTGCGTTCAAATTATATCTTATATATACACAATTACAGACACAAACACACACATACATACATCTCTCTCACTCTCTCTCACTATATATATATATATATATATATATATATATATATATATATATATATATATACTATATATATTCAGCACTTCCAATCATATTTTATATATATAACATTCTTAAATCTTAGGATATATATATATATATATATATATATATATATATATATATATTTTAAATAAAGAACAGACCACTTTAAGGTTCCATGTTATAAATTATTTCACCACATGTATATATATATATATATATATATATATATATATATATATATATATATATATAAAATGTACATATATATATATGTATGTATATATATATACATATAAATGTATTCTCATTTTCAGTACACACACACACACACACACACGCCCGCACCAGATAAACGCACATAATATTTATTTATTTCAGAACTAATGTATTTATTTTAATCCAACATTTTTGTTATTACTTCACGTTTTATGAAATATTTCTCTCTCTCGTTCTCTCTCTCTATGTCTCTCTCTCTCTCCCTATATATATATATATATGTGTGTGTGTGTGCGTGCGTGCGTGTTTGGTAAAATAAATAACAAATAGTAAACATCAATCTAGCTTTTTTTCACTTTTATTATATATATATATATATATATATATATATATATATATATAAGATGTAAAAATATACTTTACTGACGTTATTCAGTCGTTAATAAATAAATGATTCGATTTTGTTTTTCGATCCACTCAATATTATTTCCTTCCCTTTTTGTAATAAAATGGAGTTAGACATTTTAAAATGTTCTGAATAGTGGTTACTGATTCTGTGATTGAAAACAAACAAGATGAAACTATTCATGTAATACATAAGATTTTCTTTTATTCTCGATCGACCTTAATTACTCGAGTGTCCAAAGAAAAATAACTGTCTATGTGTACTTAATGCTATAGACAATAATTGAGATCGATATGAGCATACATCGCTAGGTAAAAATTGAAGTTTTGACAATTGGAGCGTCTTCATGTAAATTTATGGTTGAAATATCATGGTTGTAAAGTAAGATGTTATTAGATTCGAGATGGAAGAATATTTATTTTATTTTCCATTAAATATCAATTTCTTCGTTTTTCATACTATATTATTCCCATTTATTGCTTTTCAATAGCACCCCTTAAGCAGACTTAAAATTGAATAAATCATATGATTACCCTTCACTGCATTCATTCATCGATATCAATCTGATTTTTGACAATTTGATGTTCGATTCGTTTTTTTTTTCAATTGCATTTATGTTTTGTTTAGTATTTATCGTATCAGGTAATATTAAATCCAGCGTCTTCAGCTGAAAACATCTTAGCGATGATAGCCTTCCTAATGTTCGACTTTCCTGACAATACATACGCATCTACTGAAATCTAATGTTATGATGTTTATTCGATACCAGATAGACATTATTTATATTACTTACAGTCGAGCTAATGTCTCCATCTTTGTTGTGTCCTCTGTTTTTCTAGGTTGATCCGAATAACATTGATAAACTTTCGAAACAAACCCTTTATTTAATCTAGTGATTTTCCAAGCGTAGCTTAGATGTGGCACAAGGCCGAAAGTATGAGGCACTCAGTGAGGATCGAACTCACCACTCAGTCGTAATTGTTCTAGCGAGACAAGCTTGTTAACCATTACACCACCTCGAGGTGCCCACACTTTATTTAATCTAAAAGTAGTTACTTTTCGTTTTGCTCGCCTTATCTGAGGGTGTCTTATCTTATTCGGCTTACGGCCACATCACGTTGAAATCCCGGTTCTCGTACGACCATCGAAGTTAAGCCACGTCGTGACTGGTCAGTACCTAGAAGGGTGACCGCTTTGCAATACGAGGTGCTGTAAGCATAGATGTGTGGGTGGTGTAATGGTTAATAGCTCGAAATTGTTAATCTCAGGGCTGAATTCCATTTGGGCCCGTTATATTCACTTACGCGCAAATACCCTTGGGAAAGTTATGAATCCACCTCTTCTCCCCCAGCTATGGGTTAATTAGTAAGACTTCTCTCACTAAACCACTATTATTTCCCCCAATCTAAAAATATTTTCTGGCTTTAAATAACCAGCTAAGGATTGATAAAAAAAAAACGAAACACTCAGTCTCATCGTGTTACTTTTTTAGCGTTGCGCGGTTAGTAATTTCTTCTTTGTATTGTAGATTTTCAACAAGGTGTTCAGTTAGAAATTCCCTGAAGCTTACCCTGATCGAAAGGCACCTGACGATGGCTGAAGAACACAGCAGCCGAAACTTTGTGAATAACAACAATGATGAATTCACATGGTTCCCATACAAATAAGGTAAATAGTGGTAGGTCCCCATTCAAAAAACAACAGGTATTTACAGACTCAGTTACGGAAACCACATCCTCATTTAACAATATACAAAAATAATTGCTGGATATCTAGACGCTGAGATGACTGCTACCCACCCACATTACTCGGCCAAATCATTCTTTGCCGAAATGCTCTTAGAATTTTTAAAAACATACGAATAATCTGTATCCGATAATTTATAGATGGGCATTTAATATAATGGTTATCTGTTATCGGTGTGCCGTGTTCAGATTCTGGACAAATCTGTTTCGTTTGCTTCGCACTTGGAAAAAAGCATGAATCCACCCTCCTCCAGCTTTGGGTTAAATGGTTCTCTTATCTTGGGTAGCAGCCAATATGAGAGAGGAATAACGCTGAATTCAAAAGTAGCCTGATAAGAGATAGTCTCCCTTCATATCTTGTTCTGTTACCGCCGCAGTATACGAAGTGACCCTAAAATCTTAATGGGTTACAGGTCCCTTGGTCCTGATACGATTATTAATGAGTCTAGCTTCGGCAGGTGCAAGCCAAATTAGAGAACTTGTAGGTAGAAAAGGATTGTGTAATGCTAATCGTTGGGGGAAAATAACTCCTTTCGGTATCGATGGAAATGCGTAACCATTTCAGTTACCCGATATTCTGGGAGTTTTATCTCTTTTTATAAAATCTTGTTGATACAGGACTTATGAAATTCAAGAAAGATTGCTCGAATTACTTCCAGTTGTTGCATCGAAGACAATGACAAAGCCAGAGACTGTCTTTTCATTGGGGCCCTGATCAACTGGTGAACAAATTAAGACGGACAGTAGAAAGTCAAGAGAATTCTATTAATTAAGCAGACCAGCACCAAGAGCTTAGAGAAGAGGTGATGAGGGAAAGAGTCACATATATTCAGGGTTAACATTGAAACGATGCTGCGTTTTCCGTAACAAGTAACCATTTCACGGGTCAAAGTTTGCAACCACACGATCAATCAATCTCAAATTCTGAGTGGTCCTTCTCCAAGACGAGTTTACAGCACAAAGTTAGTGTGCCTGCAGTGAGTGCAAAATAAGAATAACTAACTTCACCGAATCCCTTCAAATTCGGAGGAAAGAAAGGGATTCGCGTGTCTATGTGAAATTTTTGCCTTTCACAGAAATTAAACCCTTGAACTGAGAAAGAAGAAGGAAAGAAATACATGAGCCTAAGTAAATTTTTCTTGGACCAATGAAAATATTGCCTTCACAGAAATTAGTTGGTGAGCCAAGAAGAAAGAAATGAAACTCGAAATACTTTTTGTTATAAAATGAGGATAAAAAGTAAATTAATGAAAAGAGTGTCTTAAGTCATATGAAAGGTTTCGCTTTAGTTCCTCGCGACCAGCGTTGAACTACTCACCAGTGTAAAATTATATTATTGGAACTAGCATGCGACAAACAATTTTCACTCAAAAATACAAAAAAAAGCTAAGTATTTCAAACTGTCTCTCTATATCTACTTTTGAACATAAGAGAACCACATATCCCTGACTAACTCTCTTACGCCTGTCTTAAACATTTGTGTATGTTATTTTGTGTCAGATCATTTAATCTGCTGTATGAACATGTTCCCTTTATGCAAATTCATTAAAATTACGGACTAAGAATCCTGTTTTATTTTCATGAAACGAGAGACTGATACTACTCCATGTGTGGAAATTTGTGAATAAATTCCTTATCTTGTTTTGTTATAAATAACCTCGTCATTATCATCCTTCATCGATCTTCTTGGCATGGGTGGATAAGCTATTCATTTTAACCCCTAAGCCCCACACCACTGTATGCCATTTCTTCCGTGTCATTTATTCTATAAGAAGAATACTAAATAAAACCATGCCTTTCTGAAGACTATTACTGTGAGAATGAACGAAGTTATCTCAATTGGAATATTAAATTCTTCATACTGATGCTTTTCGCATTTTAAAAATAAAGCATGTTTCTTCCGGTATATAAAAGAATAATCTGTTGATATTTTTCTAGCCACCATGTTTGTATTCTTATACCATTGTGGACATAAACCCGGTTATATTCGGGTCCTCGCCAACGTGCAATGCTTTCAGCAACGGATCTGTTACTCTAGGCTGTCCTAACATTCCTGGATGCTACCTTCTAAAACACCCCAAGCAGTTCTAATCCAATAATAGGATAACACGACACAATGAAACCGAATTTATCACCATTTATAGGTTGGCTTAATGCATAGCGGCTCAGGTTGAGGAATCGGAGAGTTGAGTTCGAATTCCAATCGAGTTACATTCACTACCGTGCAAATATTCTTACGAAAGTTATGAACCCATCTCTTCGCTCAGCCTCCATCAGTTATTGGTTCAATGGAGGACTGAGGTCATGCTATAGCTTTGGGTGGCAATGCGCCTTGGAGAAGGGCATTCAAAATCTAATATATCTTAAATAGTCTCACCAAAAGGCGTGGTGAGTACGCCTACACTCTTGAAGCCGTAGTTAATCAAGTATGAGTTCCTCCAACCGGAGTGAGTAGGCCCTAGATTTAGATAGGCGCACTTTTTTCGAGAGAGCAAGAGAAAATTGTCTCCATAGAAATTAGTCGTTTTACAGGGCGGAGTTACCAGCACCCCGCCCAATAGTTTCGGAATCTTGAGTGATCTTTCCCGAAGACTGGTTTTATATATATATATATATATATATATATATATATATATATATATATATATTTATATATATGATTCCAACACGCTACATAAGAGTTCTCATGTTACAAAACAAGAACCGAAAAGTTCAATATAATTATTAAAGTACTAAGCTCTGTTCCATCTTCAAGCGAAATTTTTTTGGATTAATTTTATTGAAGTTTTCGGATTAATTATATTAATTTTTTTGGATTAATTATATTGAAGCTTTCGGCTTTGTTTTGAAACATGAGAACTCTTATGTAGCGAGTTGGAATCATATAATAAATAATTATATTTATGCACTACTTTTGTATCGAGCACTATTTTAAAAAATAATAACAAAAATACTAAAAGAACTTTGGATTATTTACCTAACGAGTTCTTTCCTATTTTCTATATATTTTCACTCCACACACACACACACACACACACACACACACACACACACACACACACATATATATATATATATATATATATATATATATATATATATATATATATATATATATATATATATAGCACCCGAGTGGTTAGAGTGTTCGCTTTCTGACCATATGAGACCCTGGTTAGAATCTCACCATGGTCGATTTGTCAGTAAGGAGACTTCCTGATGTTATCTGACTGGAGGGGTCAATCCCAGCTTGCGGCACCTTTGGAAATTGCCTGAAAATCATACCATGGCTTGTCCCAAGCCTTGTGATTGAAATTGTGTAGACGGAACCCTTGGGGGTTAGCACGAAGCCACAAGTCACAAATTGAGTGCGCTGGTCTTGTTCAAATTGTTGATCACACGAGATAATACGCTCTTTCCCAGAAACTGTAACTAAGGTCTGCTCAGCATAGTTGCAGTATAAACCACAAATGAATAAACAAATTGGATAAATCACAAATTGAATATACACAAATGCGCCTGAGCAAGCCTCTGCAATAAGGATTGGTTAGCCGCCCCAATAGACAGGTATCCTCAAATACAAGTGGCCAGATACACACAGACACACGCACACGCGGGCGCACGGACACACACACACACACACACACACACACATATATATATATATATATATATATATATAGATAGATAGATAGATAGATAGATAATATTAGTGGTAAATATATTTCATATTTCTCTTACTTAAACCCCTTCCACTCACCTCTCCTAAAATTCTCTCTGTTAGCGTTTAATCTCCCTCCTTCTCTAGTATGTTACCCACCATACTTACACTCTCTCTAAATTCTGTTTTTATTTCCGGAGTTGTTTTTTCTATTTTCTTTTTGAATTTGTAGGTCTGATGAATTGGATCGTATTTACGATTCCAATGGAATAAATTATGACCATGGAATATTATTGTTTAAGCCTTTTTTATTATATATATATATATATATATATATATATATATATATATATATATATATATATATATATATATATATAATGCTTTGTGTTCTGCAAGCTGTTACCAATAACTTCTTTATTATAAATTGAACTGATAGATACCCAATACTAAAATAGGGCATTTTGACATTGTGCACTGGTTAGAAAAACTTGTCTTACTACATCAATTACGACTGACCAGTTATTTTTAACTTCAATACATGCTCCATACTTTGACCTTGTACATTTAAGCTAAGATTAATAGATCGCTATCCTATGCTAAAATAGGGAACTTCGATGGGGTTAGCATGATTGTTTTGTTACATCAATAACAACTGAGTGATAAGTTTGAACCTTACTGGGTGCTCAATACTTTCGGCCTTGTGCCACATCTAAACGATCAACCTCACCATGCTTAGTAAATCGCTATCCATTGCTAAATTATAAATCCGTGTTATACGTCGATGCACGCTATGTGAATTAAAATACA